TGAGCGTTGACTCAGAAATACCTCAACTTTCGAAAGACGAAGACCTGCAGATCGGTCAACTCTACTTTCTCCTCCCCATTTCTAAGTCGCATTCTCCTCTGACTCTTCAAGATATGTGTAGGCTCGCCGTCAAAGCCAGCACTGCTCTCAATGGGTATTTTACTCCGGTGGCCGGAGCTGTTGCCAGCCGCCGCCACCACCGCGGTTCTTGCAATGACAGAGTTTCTAGGCGGCGGCATATGGTCACCTTAATTAACTGACTGGATGGCTGGACCCACTCTGTTGTAACAAAATTTTAATGTTCCAAAGTTCCGATCAACCAAATATTTGTAATTTTTCTAATTTGTTATAATGTTTTTTCTTCTTTTGGGAAGTTTTTCTATTTATAACAAATGAGTTGCTTTACCAAAAGTGTACAATATGTTATATGTATAGCTGAAGTACACTGAAGTTTCCTATGAGTTATGTTCGTGGTCACATGACCCACATCTTGTTTTTCTGAGTTTTAATTTCTCTTGGGTGTATTCCCAAAGAATTATCATATTATTTCGTTTACAAATTTTAAGCAAACAATTGTACGGAGTATGAATTTTACGGTACCTATCTTTTTTTTAACATTAAGGGGGTGATATATGTAAGATCAAGGATGTGGTTGTATTTTTAATTAGATCAATTTTTTTAAATTTGATTGATTTAATTTGAATAAATATGTAGTATAATCCAATTTGAAATATTGTACTTATAAGGCCACATCAACAAATTTTGTGATGCAAATTTAGACTTATCTTGTGTCCCCGGTAGGGGTGGGCACACTTTGGTTAATCAAGAATCCGTTAATCAAAATTTCAGTTATTATATTTTGTTTAAAGCATATCCGTATCATGACATCGGTTAACCAAAATTCTGGTAAACTACTAATCGGTTAACCAAAATTCACAATAAACTCATTAAAGTTAGACTATTAGACATTTAATTTAAAATAAAAAAGAGTTAAAGAGATCGGATGACAATTAAAATAGAAGTAGCGGCTAGACTCCAGTTCTTCGAGAAGGGCAACTGATCTCCAGAAAGACATAAGGCTTGAGAGTTACGAAGAGGCAATCACACTACATCACCGACAAAGTCAGGTGCATTTAACACTACATCACTAGTAAAAAACAATCTTACAGTTACACTTTCGTAGTGACACTTTTCTGATAGAATACTACCAATGACATAGAAGTGTCACTAATTTCTAACAAAAAACATCATTATCTCATAGTGACACTTAATGGGCCTAGTGTTCTTTAAGATTTTTTAACTTAGCTAACACTTGTTTCTTTTTCTCATCACACTTAGGTTTTTTCATATACCACTAAACTAATTTTCCATCGATGTATTCATTCTTCCACAGCTAGAGCTGCACAAACGTAACCCTACTTTCAACACCGATCAATTTCCGACTTTGGCTTACTCCACTGCCGTACTCATCGCTAATATCCTTCTCAACCGTCTGATTCTTCATGCAAAGCTAGAGCACATACTCCGTCGCCGAGTTCGATCGATTTAGTCCAGAGCACCCTTCAACAGTTCAATCGATTTAGTCTTTCGCAGTACTCCGTCCCCGTACTACGCTCGGCCGCCTTACTGCGCCATACTGCGCCTTACTGTGTCTTCTCTCTAAGGTTCGTATATACTAATTTTATATTGCAAATAGGTAATGGATGTTTCGATTTGAAGATGTTAATTAGCACTTTGGTTGTCCTTTCTTGGTTGATTTCTGCCATCTGTGTGTTTCATTATGTGCGACTAAGTGCTTCTTTCTTCCTGTTGGGTGTTTCATATATTCATTATGTGCAATTTCAGTATGTATACATGTCTTTTGATTTTTGAAGCTAAACCCTTAAATGAAGAGTTAAAATCTAAAATACTTCGTAAGAACTTCAACAAATCATACTCTAAAAGTGTCAAAAGAAATATGTTATAATGGAAAAGGGGAGAATTCTGAGAGGGGCCAACATCTCATATCGTGTGGGAAGGCTGCTTTTGTTTTATATGCTACTCAAATGAACTTGGAGAACACTATGGAAGAAACATATCAACATCTAAAAAAGCATTGATGCATGATGATGTAAGAATGGTTGGGGCAAATAATATCTATGGCATATATCTTGTTGCTTATTTCAGCATCTAAATAAGGAAAATTAACTTCATTACCATAAGGTTGTTTAAATACGTATCTGATCAGTTTATGTTCATGTTCAATGTAGGCAGTTGACCGTTCATCTGTGCCATTGACATTGATCTGTCCTACTCATTCTCTTGATTCTCTGAAAGAGCTGTTTAAAATAACACGGAGAGTTCTTCTTATTAGCCTGAGATCTACCCCTTCTCCTCTACAAGAATCCATTTTTAAGTGGAATTTTTACCAATAATAATGAACTAAAATATTGTCATTTTTATCAAAACATAAATTTACCTATTGTACCTTAAAAACAGAACATCGTCCCCTGACACTAGATTCTTTTGGATTACAAAGATACTCCACCCAGTGGTGAGCAAATGCCGCCTTTTGATTTTTGAAACTAAAATCTTAATTGAAGAGTTAAAATCGAAAATTAAGTCAAGGAAACAACCACATGAGTGATGAATACTGGATAAATCAGATTTCTCAAATGTTTCTAGACATTACATTACTTTTCTTTAATCTTTAATTGTAAAGTGCAGCCTCTCTTGAAAATCAGAATAACAGCCACTTCGTTGATATGTTTTATTACGCCCTTAATATAAGATACGACTTAATTAACATAATCTATTTATTGAGATTCTGCACATATATCTACGTTTGCATAGTTTGAGAATCAAAATTACTACAAAGTTGGTACTGCTTTTCTTGTATCAAATGTGTGCTTCAGTTTTTGAGGATTTATATATGTTTATTTCCTATATCATTAAACTGAAACGTAGAACTCAAAATTAAAATACTTATGAGCTAATTTTCATGTTTTGTCGTTTATGTATACTATTTTGAGGTTTTGTTGGTACTATAAACTGGGTATTAGTATTCAAATGGATAAGTCTTGGATAAGTATTCAAATGGATAAGTCTTGGATAAGTTATGCGTTTTGAATCATCATAGAAGAGTTCCGGGTTGAAGTAATGCCCCGCAGCATGCAACGGCCAAAGCAACTTAACATTGCAACCTCTCATCGATTATTTCTAATGTTTTCTTATAAAAGTCTTGTTTTTCTCCGAAAGATTTTTCAATGGTCTCCTTAGCCCTATCCATGGCTTCATATATGTATCCCATGACCGGCTTTCTTTCTCCATCAACGATCCTCAACACTTTCACAAGCGGCCCCGTCAACTCCAGAGCATAAACAACACTCCAGAGAAAGAAGCAACTTTCTTTCCAGCTGCTTCTTTAGACCATTTGCTTGATCTCCAATCTTTTGAGGTCACCAACTTCCTCAAATTGTTCTTCTGCTTGTGATAATGAGAGAGTGATAAAAGATGTAGCAAATCTCGTGATGCCAGGCCTATGCAAATTCCTTTGGCCTATGAATCTCCTCATGTGTAACATGTTCTACTACAATGGTTTCCAGTTTTTATGGTTTCCTCACAAAGTTGATGACTAAAAAGACTCATGATAGATCATGTGGTGCACAACAAATCATGAAACGAGTCCATACTTGAAGGAATTTCTACTTTTATTTGGTCATGGAGAAACTCGAAAAATGTAATATGTACTACTTTATGTAGCTAAAAAAGATCGTGTGGACATATATGCAGCCAACAAGGGTAAATATGAAATATAAATGTGGACACACTAGGTATTCGATCATCACTCTACTTGTGTCAGAAGAGAAAATGTGGAATATAAATTATGATATCATGTTCACTTATATGTTCATTATGTATCAAGGTTCATCATTTGGGATGATAAGCAGCCCTTTGGTAGGAAGGTAATGCATTTGGCAATGAATTTAGAAATGTTGTTCTATGTTGTTTTGAAAGGAACAAGAAAAGGTGTTGGTGAAGACGCCATTCTCAGCTAGTTGTTTTTATATATTGTACAATGGTGATAATGTCATATTAACTAAGAAAATTTAGTATTCAAAGATCACCGACAAGCCATGAATGGTATGATTGCTCTAGTTAATGACGTGTAGTCCAATGGAGTCTATCATTAGATCTATATAGCGACCTCTCAAATCGAATAAGTTTTAAATATTTATTACAAAGTTTTTCGTACTTCCAACATAATGGGGATGAATTGATGCATTAATAATTACATTGAACATGAGTTAGACCAATATAGACCTCAAGACCAACTTAAGCTCGACTTGAACTTCTTCAACCATAATAGTGACCTCGTATACAAGATAAATTTTCAAAATTGATTAAGAAGATTAAGTTTCTTACGGTCATGATCATTGCTAGTGGGTCAACTTAGGCCCTGGCCCCAACCAAATTTAAAAATGTCTGAAGTATTAGTGAATAAAATATTTCGTGTTAAAGTTTATAAAAAAAATCTGTATACCAGCCTAATCCATTTCGGGTGTCTGCTTACGCCACCACTTACACGGTCATGAGCTCAAGCTAAAAAAATATTGCATCTTGCTATGAGGAACATTGGACATTTATTTAGATTGTCTAATGGTACACAATTTTTCGAACTCATATTCTTGAGGGTCCGATGAAGTATGGAGTAAATATTGGAAAAAATTAAATGTTTCTTGTTCGGAGTCTTATTTTGACGATAAAATTCCGAAAAGACGTGACTTTTCTGTCTAAGAAGCAAAAACACGGGATATCAATGCATTGGATAAAAACATAACATAGAGAGCAAAATAACGGGAGGGATTCGGAAATAGCATTTATGAATGGAATGATGGGAGAGGTAGATTGGGTGGGAGGGGTAGCTAGGGAGCAAGGTTAATGTAGAATCTCATTTTTCTTTTAAGTGATGTAACATTTTTGAAGAAGTTTGTGATGCAAAACATAGATGAAAGTCCAACTCGATCAAATTGCATTTTGATAATAATTTTAGCGGCAGAAGAGTGATATGAAACATTATACATGTAAAAGTAAATAGAAATATTTTAATTACTACGCTCTCATGCATTGTTATGATGAAGATACTAACAGTATTAGTCTTTATAATGAAGTATTATTTAGTAAATCAAGGTTTCATCTCAGCCTTGATAGCCTCAACTAAGTGGTCATATGCCACACCCCATGCATCACTCATTTCTGCAGACCACATTTCTGGTATGGCAGTTTTTATGGTTTCCAGTAATGCATACCTAGTCACCTGCATATGATATACAAAAAATGATAAACAACAATTTACACTTTTTGTACATATTAAATCTGATTCGGGAAATAATAGAAACGTATATGAAATTAGATCACAAACAACTCATATGTGTGACGAGTATATCTACAAAAAACTTATAAATTGTTTAAATATGCAACGACTTTCAATGAAAAACATAAATTTACACGCTTACAATCAACTATTGTCTATATTTAAAAATATATATGGAGACCCCCAAATCATTTACGCAAGTAATTATTGTTTGTGAACCAACACAGACAGGGGCGTATCTAGCTTGGGGGCAGGGGGACAACTGCCCCCACTCAACCCTCACCTTACCCCATTCTATATATATATATATATATATATATATATATATCAAATTTTATGTGTGTATATATATATATTATTGTCTTATATACAATATAATAATGCTTAAAGTCAAGACATGACAAAGCTCGCGTACTAGCCGATTGGATAGAGTGCTACATGGTTTGCTCTTCGGTCAAGGGTTCAAATCTTCCCAACTCCGACCTTGTCGATTTATTTTTTTTGCCCTATTACAATTGTTTAAAATTTGTCTAAATATAAGATTTCATTTAATTTTTTTAATGTAGCTACTAAATGATACCAGGTATGTGATTTTAATAACATCTTTTCACACTTAGTATTAAAACTTGTTTAAGTGTAACTTAAAGCACTTATAGTTACATATTTTATCCAATTCTTTCCTAAAAATTGTGTGATAATGTTAGTGTAAATTTGCCCCCACTGGCCGAATTTTCTGGATACGCCATGAACTCAGATTTGCTCAACCACATGCATTTCTAAATTTTCTACATCATATTCATAGTCATTTTGCTACAATAGTCATTTTGGAATAGCTCAATGCTTGTTACAATTGTTTTGACCTATTACAATTGTTTAAAATTTGTCTAAATATAAGATTTCATTTAATTTTTTTAATGTAGCTACTAAATGATACCAAGTATGTAGTTTTAATAACATCTTTTCACACTTAGTATTAAAACTTGTTTAAGTGTAACTTAAAGCACTTATAGTTACATATTTTATCCAATTCTTTCCTAAAAATTGTGTGATAATGTTAGTGTAAATTTGCCCCCACTGGCCGAATTTTCTGGATACGCCATGAACACATATTTGCTCAACCACATGCATTTCTAAATTTTCTACATCATATTCATAGTCATTTTGCTACAATAGTCATTTTGGAATAGCTCAATGCCTATTACAATTGTTTTGCCCTATTACAATTGTTTAAAATTTGTCTAAATATAAGATTTCATTTAATTTTTTTAAATGTAGCTACTAAATGATACCAAGTATGTAATTTTAATAACATCTTTTCACACTTAGTATTAAAACTTGTTTAAGTGTAACTTAAAGCACTTATAGTTACATATTTTATCCAATTCTTTCCTAAAAATTGTGTGATAATGTTAGTGTAAATTTGCCCCCACTGGCCGAATTTTCTGGATACGCCATGAACTCAGATTTGCTCAACCACATGCATTTCTAAATTTTCTACATCATATTCATAGTCATTTTGCTACAATAGTCATTTTGGAATAGCTCAATGCCTTTTGGTCAAACATTATTCAAGAGAAAGTAGGTTGTACATTAGATGTAATTTTACATTCAGTATTTTTGTAAGTTTAGGGGCGGGGTCTCCAAATCAGATTCTAAAGGATTTTAGAATTTCATGACAACCTATGTATCACCAAAATAAATTATTGAAGATTCCTTTAAATTTTATGAACTCTATGATCCAACATTTTCATGAATTTCATTATTCATTATGTGGGCTGATTTGAATGGAATTGAATATCTAAACGACACCAATCCATTATTTCACTAATTATCACTCACAATCCTTCAAAATGGCCCACCATCTTATTTTACATTAGCTCATCATTCCAGAACTACAAGATTATTTTTCTATCAAATACAATTTTTCACTCTTTTAATTCAATACTACTTGTTTGAATTAAAAGATTATGATTTTGTATTTGTGAAAAGCATTTTGTATTAGTTCAATGCATAATTTATCATTTTAGATATACTAGAAGGTAGAAACACGATATATCCAATATATATTATATAATGCACGAATTAGTAGGAAAAGTTATTGATCTAAATAGGAGCAAATTATTAGGAGATTTCTCAAAAAGGACCGCACTTTAATTTATTCCCAATATAGGAGTTAAAAAACGAGTCACCTATTTCCTCTTCCCATTATGCCCCCAATCTCTCGTATCTTCTCTCCCCTCACCATTTACACCCCAAATCCCCAATCTCTTGTACGTATCTTCTGCGGCCATATATAGTACTTTCCCATCCATCTCCATCTAGAGCTGAAGTTTGATTTCTCGAAGCTTCCCAACAATAAGCGAGTAGCAGCCTCGTAGGTAAGTTCCGGTCTGCTTCTTCCTCCTCCGACCTCCGACCTTCTCTTCTTCCTCTGTTCCTTTTTTCTTTTTCTTCTCCTTTCTTCTTCCTCTTCTTTTCTTTTTTTCTTTCTTCTATTCTTCTCTTGTTCGGTCCTTCTCCAACAATTCGTTCTCCACCCTTCATCTTTTTTATACAATTTCAATTTTATTTTACAATTGATTTCAATCGATATTTTTATAAATTTCAAATTAGATTTTTAGTTCAACCTGCAATTGCTGTTTTCAGTATTCTAGTTCAATTAACGATTAAAAAATTTAATAACTGTTTGGTACTAAGAAGGAGATATTACGTACTCCGTATTTCAAAATACAAGGCTAAAATGTCACCGACTCCACCTAGATGACTTTATCATGCCACTGCAAATCCAAAATTAATACTCCGTAATTCCATGTTGTTTTCCATATAAACTGTTAATGTCATTTTTAAGAGTAATAATGACATCTTTAGGAGTACTATTTCCATTTCAATGACATTTAATGTCATAAAAATGGCATTATATGTCAAAAAAACTTTCATAAAAATTGGCTTTATGTCAAAAAAAATTTCAAAAACATGGCATTACAATAGAGCAATACTTCCCACTTTTATGGCAGAAAGATTTTTAATTTATTCCACTTTTATGGCACTAAAGTTCATCACGATGACAATAATTTCCTCTTGCAATGTTTATAATGCCAAGAAACTGTGAATATGGCAATAAAATTAGCCTCCTCTATTTTAGTACAAATTGCATTAAAGTGGCATTAAGATGCATTCCAATTGTCAGATGACATACTTTAGGGTACTCTCTTCAAGGCTTGAGATGGATGGTGGTGGTGTCAAAGGTGGAGCCAGATGAGCCAAAGGTGACGTGGGATGAGGAGGCAGTTGCAGAAGATCCGACAGTGATGCCAAATGAGGCGGCGGCAGAATGATGGCGGCGATAACGATGGCGACTATGCCAGGCAACATCGATGGTCACGGCGGCCGTGACAGCGGTAGAGGTGCCCGCATCAGCGACGGTGGTGACTGGGTGAAAACAACGATAGCAAATGGTGCAACGATGATTTCTCGCTTTGGTAGTCGCACACAAGGAATAGGCTGCATGCCCATTGCGTGTCTACTGCTTTTAAATTACGAAGTATTATTTCATTTTATATTTTTGATATAGAAATTAAGGTTTTCATTAAGGGTACATTAGTCAACACATAAACTTTTACTCCTACGTAACTGCACAAAACTATCAAGTCCTACTTTTGCACTTTTTTTATTGTTTACTCCTAGTTAGGGAATTAACTCTAGTAGGAAAGCATAATGATACTCCCTCTATCCCTTAAAACTTTGCCAAGTTTGATCGGTGTAGGGATTAATAAAGTAAAAAATTGGGTGATTGAGGTTTGTGTAGAGAAGAGAGAGTTAACTGGAACCACAAATTCTTTACGCAAAAAGGAAAATGACAAAGTAAGTGGGACATCCAAAAAAGGAAAGTTGACAAAGTTTTAAGAGACGGAGGAAATACATAGTAAAACGCATTTAGAGAAACTTTCTTTTAAACATTACCTCAAAATGTGCATCCACAATGCCATACTTGGAATGAGTGGCCCCTAACCTTTTTAAGGTGGATTCCCTTACCACCACTTTTCCCTCTTTCCTCAGCTTCACCGCAGCTTCACATGTCGACATTCCGCACACACCATATATATTAAGGTCGGGATTAAATAAACATAGTTAATAAAATGTTGAACATAAATATTATTAAAACGTATGATTAATTAGTTAATTGATTCAAGTAATAACCAATATACCTCTGTAATTAACGCTTAAATATATGAGTTTTGATTAAAAGGCACACATTGTTTTACACTTGAATAAATATAATGTACCATAACAAAGACAGTTTTGGCGTGGGCCTTGAGTTTTGCATTTTGATCGAGTGGGACATCTCCGGCATCCCTCAGAAATGAGAACAACTCCTTAGTCGATGGTGCGATTTCAAATATCCTGAAAAGCACCACAAATATTATAGAATGATTTCATATCTTAAGTAAACTATTTTCAGCATATTAATTAATTTTTTATCAAACACGTAATTTTTGAATTTCGTTCTTAAAAAAAGTATGGATACTTATCTAAATTAAATTTGACGAACTTTTTATTACTGTACTTTCACAATTTTTGTTGTTGGATTCTTCGTATAGTTTCTTGCCTTTTTAGGTTAGCACGCTAAAACAACAACATTCTACTTAATTTTCTTAAAACTTTTGACTAATCCAATTGTAATGACATCTATTATACAGCTAATAGCAATCCAACCCCGTCCATTAATCAAATCCCTCATCAGTTTATACGAAAACATGATATTTACTCGATCAATTAATTTGCTTCTTTAAAAATTGCAACATTGAGTTTTTTGCACTATTCACACATCTTACTTTGACTACGATTTTTTATTAATATATATAATGCAATTATCATGTATAAAATGTTGTTAAATTTCTATTTATGTAAATTTCCGAAATATTAAATGTTTTTAATGTTTACAAATACGTTATTAAATATAATTACAATCAAAGTTGCTCGTAGACAAATGTGAAAGTCAAAGTGTTGCAACTTTTAAAGAATGGAGAATAGTATATCCAATACTGATGACATATATATGATCATAAAAAGTTATGAATTATTACTCTAATTTAGATTGTTTTGTAATGTCCATTTAGGATGTTTTTACTTGGACTGTAATTCGTCCCAGACCAGATCAGACCAGATTAGACCAGATCAGACCAGACTAGACCAGACCAGTTCAGACCAGACAAGACTTGGATAGTTATAAAAATACAAAGAAATCAGACCAGACCAAAACAGACTAGTTCAAACCAGACCAGAAAATTACAGTAAAAACATCCTTAGAAAATAGAAAATGAAGCCAGATATTAGAAGAAACTAGGCCGCATCGGGTCTGCCCAGATGGGCCGCTGTTTGCTGCAAGGTTTGGATTCATGGGCCGACAAGCAGATTGCTACGTGAATTATTTTGGGCTGGTAGCGACCCCGGGATGCGAGCTTCTTTTGCTACTGTAATAGATAGTATTTGGCTAAAATTTTTGTTTTTATTGTTATTAGGAAAAATGAAGAAATAGTGGTCCATATTAAATCATATAGAAATTAGGTGTGTGACAACCCGAATGATACATATCAAAAAGAAAGATGAAATAATCTGGGAGAGAATATATGTTATTTTGGTGCGATTTCATCTTAAAAATGAAGTGAAATATTCTAAGAAATCACAAAAGAAAAAAGAACAGAATTAAGAAAAGATGGATAGAGTGTAATTAGTAATTACTTCAAGAACAATTTGAGACTCCAATCTCCGGCGTCTTTCTTCATTGATTCCCAAGACTTGACCACCAAAGCTTCCTGCTCTTCTGTGAAACTCATGCTGTTCTTCTCTGTTAATTATTAGCTATGGAGTATATGTATAAATAAATAAAAGAAAAGGTGATCAGATGTATATATACAGCACAAAAAAGGTGAGATACAGTGCTCTGACCCCATGCCTCTTGGTGTGCTTGGAGAGCCAAATCATGCTTTGACCCATCCGATCCAATTGGTAATTTACGCCGACATAGGGATGGACCCGGGCCGGTCCGGTTCCGGTTCTGGGCCCGGGCGGGCATTTTTTTCAAATTGTTGGACCCGGAACCGGTCCGAGTTGATACCGGGCCGGGCCGGGCGCGGGTCAAGGTAATTTTTGTTTTGTTTTCTAATTAACCCCCGACCCCCCTTCAACCCCCAAACCCCCCCAAAACACTCAGCCCTAACCATGAAAAACAAAAAAAAATAAAAAAGCCAAAAATATAATAAAAAAAGCCCGGGCCCGACCCGAACCACCCGGGCCGGTTCAACAAATACAGGGCCCGAGCCCGCCCCGCCCAAACCCTCCCCAACCGGGTAAAAGCCCGGGCCTGGTTAGCACCAACCGGGCCGGTCTGGGCCCGCACAGTGGCGGGCCGGGCCGGTTCCGGGCCGGGCCGAACCGGTTGGATCCACCCTATGCCAACACCTTAATTTAATTTGTATACTACCTTACTACGTATAAAACAAATTCCAAGTTTACTATGCTTAATCATTATCAAGCTCACGAATCAATCTATTATTTTCGGGGGGGGGGGGGGGGGGGGGGGGGGGGGGGGGATCCAGCGTGGGGGCAGGGGCAGGGGCAGCTGCCCCGCTCAACCCTCACCCGACCCCTATATATATATCAAATATAAAGTAATGAATGTAAATATGTACTTCGTATTAACTATAAGTATCTTATACATTGATAAAGAGTAGGTTAACCAAAAGCTGCTATAGTTCAGCGGAGGTTTCCACACGCGTGAGTTTTAGCATGGTAGATTGGTCTAGGTACGATTCTCAACTTCGGTTGTTAATGTTTCAACTTTTTTAAGCTTTAAAGTGATTTAAAAGTGGCTTTATATAATTGTATTCAAATTTTAGCTTGATCAAACTACTTCAATATAATTACAATTTAATTTTTCGCACATAATTTTTGATCCGTAGAGTTTAATACTTATTACCTCCTTCCTATACAGATGTTCATCTTCAATGTAATGTTATCTTAATCTCTAACTTTATATATCTAAATTTTATCAAATATGAGTTTTTTTTTGCGATTTCATAAAACTTTTAACGTAGATTCTAGTCAAACATCATAAACGGAAGAACTTTTCTGCGGGAGAGAGTGAATACATTGTTACGTGTAACATGTGTAGAGTACTAATTTTTAATATACTTGTGAATTCGCAACTTTATTAAATTAATTTTAAATAATATTTGATTAATTCCTTATTGGATTTTTAGTGTTAACATAATTTTGAATAAATTATAAACTATGTGATTAATTTTTTAGAAAGGTTAAGTTTTATTTTCCATGAAATTTTTAAAAATGATATCATAATATTTTTGTCCCACGAATATTTTATTATTTATAATTGAAATTATACTATTTTTTTAATGTGATTATTGTTTATGAGATGCGAGAAATAATCCATGTGAGTTCACCCCCGCTGACGGAAATTCCTGAATACGCCAGTGATGAGGCTGTGGTTGATCATTTGGTTTAGACTTTTAATACTCCCCCATCTTCATTAGATGCTCTACTATGTTTTTCACATTTTCAAGAGGAAACTGAATGGGTAGAGCTTATTTATAAAAATGTAATAAAACTTACTATGAATTTAATGTCATGATTATTTAAATGAAAAAGTTGAACATAAATTACTATGACTATAATTACCACTGATGGATAGTCTACCCGGGGGTATATATCCGAAGGGTTATTACGGGGAATAACTTAGAGAGAAGTCAGAGCAAGTAAGTAAAAGTAGAGAGAGAGTGTATTCAGTATGAATGCCGTTTTCAGCGTGGTTACAAATGAGGAAATGGGGTGCTATTTATAGTAGCAATAAATGCCGGACAGGGACACGTGTCAAGCGCTCATTGGCCGAGGGGTCACCTCAACTGGTTGGTGCTGGCAACCGCATGTGGCCGCATTTAATGCGGCTGTTGGATGGGACGTCTGTGCAGGGTACGGTGATCTGTACGCATGTGAGGAGGATATCTTGTCGAGTGAGATGCCTTCGGCTATAGAGCAGTAGCCGAGGGCTCTTCCACCCGATGGCACCCTGGTGCCGAGGGCTCACAATGCCGAGGGCTACTGTTTTCGCCGTTTTCTCCCAGTTTCTTAATTTGCTTGAGAAACCCGTTCTGTGAGAATTTGGAGCCTTCGGCCAGGGGGCCGAAGGCACCCCTGGCGCGTAGTGCGGACTGCCTGGTACTCTGGGCGCTGTGATTTGGGCCTGTGGGGCCTTTTGGGCCTTTTGGGCCTTCACTGGAGTAGTAGGAGTCTGTGGGCCGGGGGTTCCCGGGCCATATACTCCATCAGGAGTCCCTCACTCCTTTTGCCGAAAGGTACTTGAGGAAAAAGGAGTAATTTGTGCTTGCCCTTTGATTTTGTCCCGTCATGATCTCTGAAGTTGGTGAGGAGTTGTTGCTTTTATGTCCCTGCCGCAGGCAGTCCCTCAGTTACCCACATGTCGGGACTTGAGGGCTTGCCTTGTTGTTTGTTGGAGTTTCTACATCTTTTGTAATTTAATGATTTTCCCGAGGGGGTCCTCCAGTCCCCCACTCCTTGAGGCACTTGTAAAGTGGTGAAAAGGAGTAGAGTAGTTGCGTTGCTGTTGTTGGCCGAAGGCTGTTGTTTTTTCGTTTCATTTTGGGGGGATGCCTCGTTAAAAACCTCATTAGGAAAAACCCTTTGGGAAAAAATCCTAATGAGGGAAAAAGAGTGCACCGAATTCCCCCAATGATGAATCGAAAGTGTCAAACCTTGGTATAAAGTGGAGAATGACGGGAATGCCGAAGGCTCTCTCTTCTGAGGGCTCCTGTATTGATTAGCCGAAGGCTTGCTGTTGATGTCCTGGTGGCGCCGAAGGGGAGGCCCTCAATTCGGGGATCGAGGGCCTGCTGGATGAGGGCGACAATGGAGTTGTTTCCGGGGGGTTCACTGTCTGTTGATTAGTTGGTGATGAAGATACCCGAGGGCTCCCATTACCTGTGTGCCATGGGCCATCCGTCAATGAGGCACTCCCCGGGGGCTACCCGGTTTTGCAGTGCTGAGGGGGAAACCCCGAGGGGTGCCCTGATATGAAGCCTCGGGTTTCTGAAGGAGTGATCCTGAAGGCGGATGTTATGTGCTGTGCGGGGCACAACCCGGGGGCACTTCTGAGTGAGTGTACCCGGAGGCTATCCTTGATGAAGAGTAGTGAAGTAGAAAACCTGGGGGCTTCCAGAATATAGCCGTTGGAAATATAGCCGTTGGAATATGTAACGACAGGATGTAGCCGTTGGGGGGGGTGGCACACGTGGCGTGTGATGGCTGGCTGTTCGTGGGCGGCGTCACCGGTTGGGTGAAACGACGGTGTGTAATGATGACGGTCCGTCCGGAGGCCCGGAATCCAGGCCCAAGCCCGGATTTCATCTCCTATAAATACCCCAAGGCCAGGGCCATTCCCCGCTGTGCGAACTCAGTTGTCTTAGCGAAGTTCTGCCAAAAAATCTAGTGAGAGAAACTCAGGCCTTCGGTCAGAACTTCTGCTTTCAAGGTCAGTGCCCGCTTTCCCTTCACCTCTTAGCTACCTGTACTGCGCCCTTAGGTTAGGAGATAGAAAATTTAGAAAACACTAGTGTCTACGAGCCTTCGAACTAGAGTCAGCATGTCGTCCCAGAGTGATTCTCAAGATATCTCGGGGGCGCCCTCGGTGGAGGATGAAGTCCTCTCGGAAGTGGAGTCCTCAAGTGCAGAGTCCTCGGTGGGACAGGATACCGTCATTGCCCTGGAGTTGCAGAAAGCCCTCGTAGCTGAGGCGGAGGCCGAGGGCTTTGAGCAAGAATGTGAGGACGAAGAGTTGGCCATCGCCTGGCAAGCAGCTGAAGAGGAGGCACAAAGAGAAAGCGAGAGGGTCACCGTTGCTGTGCTCCCCCCTCGGGGTGCCGGGGAGGCCAGCACCTCTCGGCCGCTGAATGCGGTCCCCCTCCGGGTGGCCCCCGGAAAGAAAAGGCCAAGGCCGCTGTTCCCAAGAAGAAGGGCAGCGTAGCGGATCAAGGGAAGCCCCTCGATATGCCCGAGGGGTACTCCTATCTCAACACCGCCGCATTGGAGATCAAGTCGAAGGTTGATGCGGCGGACATCTATGTCACCCAGCTTCACGTGGGCCCCTCGGCCATCGTGGTGACACCGGGTCCGGATGACGTTCTCTCCCGGGCTCCCGAGGGCTGCATTGCGGTGCACGTCCTCTAAGTATCCATGGGGCTCCGCTTCCCCCTGCACCCCTTCCTCCGGGAGTATCTTCGGTTCGTCGGTCTGGTTCCCTGCCAGCTGACCCCGAACAGCCATTCTTATATCACTGGCTTCCTTCAGCTCTGTAAGTCCCGGGGGGTGACGCCTAGCCTGGACCTCTTCTTCCAGAGCTTCAACCTGTGCCGGGGGGGGGGGGGGGGCACGCGAATGTCGAGGGATTCGCCAATCTGCAGCAGGTGTCCGTGTTCAAACTCTTCACTGAGGCGCCCTCCTCGAACAAGGGGTGGAAGGACCGGTGGTGCTATGTGAAGCTAGCCGAGAGCCCCTTCCCGAGGGAGCTGCGTGACCGCTTCAGGAGGCACGAGAAGAGGAGGAGCGCCGCCCTCGAGAAAGATGGCAGGATTCTGGCCATGATCCCGGAGGGCCGGGACAAGAATATCTCCATCAAGGATTGCACCAAAGAAGCAGATCTCTACACCCTCGGGTTCCGGCGGGTACCGGTTCCTGGGGGAAACTGATGAGAAGTTCCCAGTGTTTGAGGGAGCCTCCGGAGGTAGTAGCTGAGGGTATTCTCACCCTCATATCTTAGCACGTTTGTTCATTTGTTTTGTTAATTCTTTATG